AATAAATCTATGATAAGTTTATCTCATGCGACATCTCTATATTGATTGTTTTCTAAATCGTCAAAATTTAAATATAATGAACAAGTTTCAAATTGTAACATTAGAATAGTAAATCCAATTGTCGAAGCCTAGAATATTATATTTTATTATAAGAAATCTATGCTTATCACAGTCACAGTATTAAACCTCTAATTAATTAATTAATTAATTAAATTTATACCAGTTGTACCGAATTTCGTATTTATTTACATTCATTATTTTACATAATTACACTATCGTTATTATTTAACTTCAATCTAGATTTTCGGAAAATTCAACACTATTCAACCATTATGACGCACCGGCCTGACACACATTTTCCGGATGTAGTTACTACCCTTGACCTGAAAAGTTCGCACCCCTAACCTATACTATACTTTCATATTTTATGACAGTATTAATAGCTTTGCCTACACGCTTTTCAACTTCATACTGTTTAACATTATCTGGTTTATCAAAATTATGAATAGTGTATCTATTTTTTTCCGGAATCATAGCAAAAATCTTTTTATCTTTATGATAAATTTCATATTTTTTCGGATGATTAATCATAAAAAAATTAGTTCTAAAAAATGGACTTTTGTTTTTAACATTATTATTTTCATTAATTTCTTTACATTTAATATCAAAAGGAACGTCACATTCTTCTGGAGGATCACCGTCAAGGAAAAATAAACGAGCTTGGGTATCTTCATCCTGAAATTTTTCAACTTTAATAAGAAATGTTAAGCCTTGAAAGCCTTGAACATTTCTATCTTTATTTTCGTCACTAAAACTCAAAACTCCTGCGATAGTTCCTGTAGTTGCCATACTAAAATGTATAAAATAATAATAAATTATATTAATATATAAATTTTAAATATTTCAAAATTATTTAATTCATGTTCACCTTGTTTAAAGAAAATTTTTCAACGAAAAGATAAATTAAAAAATTTCATAGCGATTGCTATTTTTATTTATTTCTGTTATCGGAGTAACGGAGATTTTGGTATCTATATAAAATTACGTTTTTGATGCAATTTGACCAAAAATAGGGTTATTTTATTAAATAACCAAATTAAATAATAAAGAAAGGAACTATATACTACGTTTGACACTATATATATATAGTACCCCTTAGATAAGAACTTCAATTTTTAAATCAATAGTACCGTGGGTATGTTGTATGAAATGTAAAAAAAAAAATAAAATCAATATAGTTATACCCTTGAGAATTATTCAAAAATAGGTAGTGAATAATCACAAACCTGGTATTTCTCTAGAATGTAACTTTAACGTTATATGTGGAATTAATTGTTTCTTATAACCCGGTTGAGTCGACTTTTACAAAATTTTTAAGAAAAATTTTTAACTACGTTTACGTACTAGTTGGGTGTTTTTTTTAGAAATTTATAAAAAATTTTATAACCAATTAAATTCATTTTGTCCGTCTTATATAAGCTTATATATATAATTTGTTATAACCAATTAAATTTATATGTGTTTTTTTATACACAAAATTTTGGCAAAAATAAAATTAAAAGCCGGGTTGCTGGGTCATTTTTAAAATTTTATGTGAAGTTTGCATCCAAATCGTTGACTATATATATAGTACCAAGCGAAATGTAATGAGAGTTGTCAATCTCTTAAAAAATCCAAACTTTTCTAATAAAAAAAAAAGTTGCTCTAATAAGTATTTGAAATAGGCAAGAATGAATTAAAAACGATGATATAGGAAAGAAAATAAAAAAATTTTAGTAAAGTATATGTAGTGTAATTGCTTCTTTTGCGATTACAAATAATGTAACAAGTAATTTGTATTTAATTGCGAATATTAATTTGCAAGGATTAATAATATCATAGTCAAAACAATTGAAGGTAAAAACTATTAGTAAAAATTTTAAAGCTTTGAATGTTTATTAAACTTTTAAAATATCAAAAATATATTATACAGTATCATACAGTATAAACACAATTTTTATATTAAACTCATACTACTGTATACATATATTAAATTAATATAAAATTTATATAATCTTAATAGTTTTGTTGATTACTATTTATAAAAACTGCTTTATATACTGTATATATTTAATTAAAAATATCAAAATAATATAATGAATTATTTTTATATTTATTTAAAAATTTACAACTAAAAAATGGTATTTGCATTAAAATAAAATTTAAAAATAATAATTTTATTTTATCTTGAATTTTTTATAATAAATAGTTTTTTTATTTTTATTAGATGTAAAATTAAAAGATTTAAATAACTTGTTTGTTTGAATACAATTATTGTACAATATATATATCTAACTTTCTTTTTCTAATTATTTTATACTATAAGTTTAATGTTCCAGTTTATAAATAGTTAAAAAATTTCAAATTAATATATATATTATATATAGTGTTTTAGATTAATCTGATATTTTCATTATGCGGTATACACAGTATCATACTAATAAAATGTTTTCAGAAAAAAGTACATTTTTGACAAATTACTTTTTATTATTAAAATATTCGGACTTTGAAAAGACTTACGTACGTACGTAGTTTAAATGAAAATTCAAATATTCAATTTGTGATTTCACGGACATGCACGTCTATTAAATCATGAGATAAATCTTAAATGGGAGTTTGAATAGACCTGTGGGAGTTTTATGGTTGTGTTACCCTGACTAAATCTATGAATTTCTTGATTTGTAAGTTTTCTATCAAAAATGTATACGTATAGATTGTTTGTATAAATGATGATGCATCTATATTTATGATCAATCTTTTTCTTACTACGCTAAATGATCCAATTATGGAATGAATAGGCAGTCCTGGTTTAAAGATGAAAGTGTTGCTAATTGAAAATTTGTAGAAATTTGTAGAAAATTTCTAAAGATAATAATAATAATAATAAATGACTTACTATGAACTTTGACAGATTACATATTTTATATATTCTATTACAGTATTAAATAACCGGTAGATTACGCATTACTTTGAAAAATCTCTAGTCATTTGGTCGGATAATACCGATACGTACGTACCTTTATTATTTTGAATGGGTATGCACAAATAACTTGCTTACCAATTCTGGCTAGAATGTTGCATATTTTTAACGTTAAATTACAGTCTGACAATGAATTATTTTTCCAGAAAATGATTAACCTATGATCTTACGGATCATTTTGATTGTTTACTTTTACTTTGTCATTCAAAATAACCTGTATTTTTTTAATTATAAATTAAAACAAAGCTTCCGAAAAACAAGAGAAGGAGACAAACAGATTAATAGTGCTGTATAAAGATAGTGTTTTAACAAAGCATAACATTTTTGACTTACATAACTGATAACAGAATAATTAAATGGATTATTTGTTAATCTTGTTATCTTTATTCTATCACTAAAATGGTGTGTAAATTAAAATATACCCACATATTGTATTTTACATAGTTACAATACGTCATATCATAAACCTTTCATTATATCATTGTTCGTATTGTTATTAGGTAATTTTTTATTGCCATCTTTGGTCATTGGCGTGAGTCACATGATATAATACAATCATTTGGTGATTAAATGAAAGTCGAACAATAATTTATTATTGTATTCAATTCTTTTTCGCTTAAATTCTTATCAAAGAAACTTTTCCTTCTTACTAATTCTAAACAAAATGCAAGATAAATTGCTGTCCCTTTTATCCAAACAATATAATGATCTCTTTAAATCTGGTGAATTTTTTGATGTGAATATCGAAGTAGGCGAAGGATCAAATACGAAAGAATTTCAAGCTCATTCTCTTATTTTAAGAATTCGTTCTCCTTATTTTCAAGCTGCTCTATCAAATGGATGGGTGAAAAGCAAGAATGGCGTAATGGTTTTGAAGAAACCTAATATTTCACCTGAAGTTTTTGAAGTTCTTCTCAGGTATGTCAAAGAACAACACTTAAAATTTCTGTATTATTAAAAATAATATTAAATTAATATTAAATTAATATTAAAAAAATATTGATTATTTTTTTTTTATTTTTATTTTTATTTTCAGTTATGTTTACAGTGGAACTATTGACCTTGTCAGAACGGACCCGAGAATTCTTATCGAATTGCTCCCAGCGGCTGATGAATTGTTCCTTACAGAGTTATGCGACCATCTTGAAGAGCATCTTATCGATTATAATGTCAGATCTTCGATAAAACAGAATTTTGTCCTTTCACATCGCATAGCGAGGCAAAATCGGTTTGAAAAATTTACTGAATTATGTGAAAGAATTCTCGCTCAAGATCCCGGCGCATTATTCAACGCTAAAGATTTCTCTGACATAGAACAAGATGTTTTATTATCTATTTATCGAGATTGTAACTCTCAATTTAGAGAAATAGATTTATGGAATAAATTATTAGAATGGTCAATCATGAATTCTCCATCATTACCTTCAGAAATATCACAATGGACGACGGATGATATCTCAACTTTTGGTACTTTGGCAAAACCTTTTATCCAATATATTAATCTTATTTACATATCACCAGACGATTTTTTTCATAAAATTAGACCTTTTCGTAAAATTTTTGACGTAGAGTATTATATACAAATCTTGGAATATCATACGTTTACGCAACTTAGAGAAAATACACTTTTCAATAGACCTATTCAACCGAATTTGGATTCAAAGATAATTTCTGAACAACATACGACTTTGATCTCTAAATGGATTAACTCATTTAAAGTTGATGTTGACGTTAATTCTTCTAATAATTCTCCACAACCAACTTATCAATTTAAATTATTATTACGAGGAAGTCGTGATGGTTTCACACCAAAAATGTTTCATGCTTATTGTGATCATAAAGGTCCTACCGTTACCATTGTTTACACCAAAAAAAAGAAAATTATTGGAGGATATAATCCTTTATATTGGCATTCAAGATTTATTGGACATTCAATGGACAATTATGAAAGAACTAATGAAAGTTTTATTTTTTCTTTAGACCCAAAACTTGCTGATGATTCTATTGTCAGTAAGATTGTTGATGAAAAATATGCCATTTATCAACGTATTTATGCTGGTCCTTGTTTTGGTAATGGTGGTGATTTAATAATTAAAGAGAAAGCTGGTTTCTGTTATAAAAAAAGTTATGAAAAATGTATTATACAAGATGGTGAAAGTAATGAATTTTTGATTGATGATTATGAGGTTTTTCAAGTAATTGAAAACTAACCGTATATACTACTTGTATAATGTATAGTGTAGAAAAAATAATAGAAAATACAATGTAATATTAATATAAAAAAACAATTTACGTTTTTACTTTCTAGAATTTTTTAAAAAAATAAAATAAATATATATATATATAAATATTTCTTTACAAATTAATTTATATTTGATCGAATTTAGCAACATTATAAATAATATACAAATTTTAGGGATATCAAATTATTGTATTTCGCTGCATAGGCCATCAAGTCCTTTACATGTCGATTTGGTCTATTATTAAGAGGTTTTTACGTTAACCAGATTTTGGCTTTTCAAGTTTATAACTTAACAAGTGAATATATATTATGCGTAATTAAATTTCATTGAGTAATGGGAAACTTTATTTTAACTTCTGAAGCATGCACAAGCATGCAATTTACAGCAAGTTCTACGTACTTTCTTACGTATTACATATTATAAAAAATCTTAACATGAATAAATGATCTTGAAAAATTAAAATATTTTACCAATATTTCTCTTATGTTTACTATCCTAATTTTTTTGAGAAAATACATCTGGTATCACTTGTAAAAATAATAAATTCCTCCAGAAAGTTGTACCTTATTTATGCAACGGCTTATTCTGATACTTTAAGTTTCTACTGCATTATCAGTACATAGAAGCACGCGTAGTTTATTTACCTGGTAAATTACTGATGTATTTGGTAATTTTAATTTATATACCAAACATAATCAGTAATTTATTAATTTGTGGTTACGGGATATTTGTGGATTCGGAATCAACTTAAGTTGATTTCGGATCTTAAATCGGATCTTAAAAATACTTAAGTGGGAATAGAATTTTATACAACCAAGCAATTACGAACTATATTTAAAGTGATTTTAAAGTGATCGTATTGGTAATCAATCATGAAATATATTTAATGCAATTGAATTGTATTTATTATTACGTTTTGCAAAAATTCTTATCCCAAAATGTCAACCCAAGAAGAATATCCTTTTATTTCAGAACAAGTCTTTAATGGCCTGGTCAATAAATATCTTGAAGGAAAAAACTTTAAATAGACGTTGTAAAACCTTTATTTCACAAACCGATTATGACCTTATTATTGCAGTACTTCACGACCCTAGTAATACAAATTTAGGGACTTCAAGGGATCGATACTGGATTAAAAACTCTTTTAAACTTCAAGAATTGGGAACCGAGACTGATCCAAATACTCAAATAAACATGGTTACAAAAAAAATAAAAATGGATCGGATACAATACGTACCGTATGCCCTTTTAATCATCTTTATGATATATTGTGCAAAGTTCATATAGGCATTTTAAAACATGTTGGAGTGTCCAATATGTGGGATGTTGTAAGAATTAGTTTTGAATTTTATCAAATATATGAGGAGAGATCTAACATATAAAAAGGTTCATTTTATCTTGTGAATTATCGATAAAAAAATATGTCATCCTAATTTATCTTTTTTATATGTTTACTCACCCCTTTTGATTCATAAAGAAGGATCACAAGAATGGACCAACCTTGGAAAGTTTGGAAGATTACTTTCGTCCATTTGAGTGGCGTGCATAAGATTATACATACAGTCGCACCCCCTAAGTGCACACCCCCTAAGTGCAAGTACTATGTAAAACCTCTCTAAATGCACGATCTAGGTTGGCCCCAACTTATAAGAGTCCTATATATTTTACTCTCTATAAATGCAAACACCCTCTAAGTGCAAAATTTTAATTTTTTTCACTATGGTCCCGACGGGATGCACTTAGAGGGGTGTGACTATAGTATGATCTAAGGATTTTTTAAAATTTTTCGTATGTAAATATTAATTTTTTTTTTTTCGTCCTTCAGACTTTTAAGTAAAAATCCTCAAAGATTTCATCTGTGGATATTCTAAAAAGGCTGATCACGAGCTTTGCGCAAATAGAAGAAAATACATTGAATCTAGCAGTAGCACAAAAGATTTGGAACTTGCAGAAAAAATTTTAACTTGGATGAAAAATGTAGACATACCATTATCCGCACCAAGTTCTCTTTTTGATAAACCAAAAAATGAGGCCATCAAAGTTCAAAACCATCTACTTACTTTTTATAAGTTAAAGCACGAAATTGGCCTTTATTATATCAAGAAGGTCCATCGCATTATACTATATTAAAAGATATGTCTATGGAGAGTTGAATTAAATGATTACAAACTCAGGAGAGTTCGAAGTAGAAATATGTGATTCAATCTATACCATTTATCCAATAAGCTTTAGTTATTATTACTTTGCGATTCATTTGTTAAGATTTGGTTATGTATTCATATTTATGTAGCTTTCATCGGAAGTTCCTGCATTGATGAAAGATGTATACAATTTCAGGACGAAATAAAGACTCTTTGGATCTTAAATCTGAGCGATAACGATTCTCTTAATAGATATAAGAATGATTTGAAGGATGAAAACTGTGAAATAATTACTTTAAACTTCGAGGGCAAAAATAGTGGTCTTCACCCTCTCGTAATTGCTAGTCATATACTTTGAACTTTCCTTCGCATTCATCCATTTACAGATAGTAATGAGCATGCTGGTTGTTCAATACTGGCTTATATCTTATCGCAATGCTTTCCACGTGCTACTTTTCAAAACCATTCTGCAAATAGAGTATATATCTGCATTATTTTTAGAACAAGCAAAAAAAAAAAAAAAAAATTCCGCTATATGCTTTGATTGGCTTTCATCTTTTAATATCAAGTAAAAATTTGTATATAGCTTTGAACTCTGTGAATGACTGGTAAAACAAATCATAATCTATATATAATAGTGCCGTGTTTATGTCATGGAAAAATGATTTTTGTCATGTCAATAAAACAACCTAACATTTATTAATTCATTAACACTTAATTAACAATATTTAATAATTAGATACAGAAAAAGAAATTTTAAATAAATGCGAATTTCTTATAAAAAAAAAAAAAAAATTAAACACATCGAAAAGATAGATTAACAACTTATATTGTGCATAGTGATTATTTAAATTCCAAAATATGAAAATATCTGTTGCACTTAAGTTATTTCATGAAATAGTTAATTTTAAAGAGTTAATTCAAATAATTTATCAACAACGTACAATTCATGTAATCGGATTAAAACGTACAATGTAAAAAAAAGACAAGCCACCGAGTAATAAACGTTTTGGATTTGGGAACATTTTTTAGGTTAGAGGTTAGTTTTAGGGTAGGATTTATAATAAACAAGTATAAGTGGGTTAGAGGGTTAAATAGAAACCTCATTTCATTTTAATCTGATTTCATTATCTGCGACATTTATTATCAAAAATCTACAGAGATAGAGAATGTTGGAGGTTGCTACAAAAAAAAAAAATGAGTTGAAGTTGAAAAGGATAAACATAAGGATCTCATTTATTATCAAAAATCTGCAGAGTGGGGGATGCTAATGGAACCCATAAGGTTAGACGTTATCTTGCTGGAATGGGTTTCAAAAAAGGATGAAAAGAAAGCATCATGTTGAAGCAATTATAGAGGTTGGCGACTGTTACCGAATGAAATCAATTTATCGAAAGATGGACAAACCAACCATCGGTATCGAATAAAAAGAGGTGTGAAAAAGATAATAATATAAGGGCTTCGATGATAAATTTGAAAATATATTAAATGATTAAGGTACCGGCTATCATATAATGAGTTTAATGATATGAGAGATAGGAAAGGGTGGATTCGTGACTGATATTATGCGTATTAGTTCGATAAAATAGATTCATGATTCGAAAAACGAGGTAATATTAACGTAATCAAGAATTTTTGAATTGTGATACTAACGATAACAAGAGATGATGTCTATAAAGATTATATTATCGTTATGTTATCGTTTTGGGATGTTCGAGTAAAGGCCCATTGCATCAAAATCTTTGCTCGATAGCACAACTGAATGGAAAGATAAGATGAACCTGTTGTTTTGCATCGCTTCAGAACTGGAAACAATTCATTCTCAAGAATTGATTCATAGAGATTTAAATACCAGAAATATCTTGCAAAATCGAAATAGCGATAGCGTTAGTGTATACAAAGCCAAAGAAATAATATCAAATATGTATGTACGTAAGCAAACACGCGCGAACGTACGGTACTTAATATAGATATATTGTTTGACCAAATGTACTACATTCAACATTTCTTTCATACGGTATTATAATGTTTGGATAAAAAATGTCAGTAGAAGCGGGATCTTTTGAATATCTGTTATGGCTGTTCACTAAATATTTCAAATAGATTAGATTATTCACGAGACTATTCATGAGACTCTTCACGAATTTCTTGTAATTAATGTTCATTGAATATTCACGAACTTGTATACCCGAATATTCGTTTTTAAATTTTTAAATTGAATAATCATTTTTAAAACCGAGGATATTCACGGATCCTACCTCTAAATGTCAAATACAAAAGACAATAAATAACCCATCATGTAAGGTTGTTAACGTTAATATCACCAATACCATAATCAACTGAAATTAATCGACTGTCAAAAAATCAGCCGATAATTTCTGGCTTGGTTATTGTTACGAATATGGAATTGGAGTTGAAAAAGATGAGAATAAAGCATTCATTCATTATCAAAATCTGCATAGATGAATAATCCTAACGGAATATATCAAATTGGTTATTGTTATTATTTAGGAATTGGGGTTGAAATTAGTATGTAAGTAAAAAGTATATTTATTAATCTAAGTACAGTATTTAAATTAAGCCATTCAAGTTTATAAATATTTTATTCGTGTTAATTTAGTGTTGTGAGTATAAAGAAATTTATTACAGTGATCAAATGATCGCCCATCACGCGGAAATCTGAAAATATTGGCGAATTTTAGCACTTTCTCATGAATAAATCTAATTAAAATGTCAGAAACAAAAAATTCTCAAGATTCCCCGTTATATTTCGATTCT